GCAAGTTTGTAGTCCTAGTCAATACACGTTGTTTGACTCAGGACTTATGAGGATCTTCAAGGATACAGCTGAGATATAGCCATTTTAATATACAAAATAAATGTCCTTAAATCTTGGCTGTTTGAAGGACCTTTGTCATTCATATTATGTTTTCTGAATGGGCAAGACAAGGACAGTCTAATGGTCAAAGGACATGCCGAAAGTCCTTAACATGCCCAAGTAATGTCTACTTTTCAAATAGTATCCTTTTTAGAAGTATAGCCATAACTCGGCCACATCCACGCGGATTTACAACGGATATAGGGCGTTAGTATCGTAAGGAGCAAGCGCATCCATCTACATAAAAAGCATACGAGGTCATGTAAGAACCTAGGACTTGGTCATTTTTTGACTCTTTTCTCTTTTCTTATCTCTTTATTGACAGGATTATTATCCTAAATTGACAGGATTCTATATTAGCCAAAGGACATGAGATTAGTCCTTGAAGTGAGCATGTTATAGAATTAAGAAAATGGGCGAGTTGTGGCTATTTTTCTTAAAAGTTATAGCAATAATTTGGACATATCCTTACGAATAACTTAATCTCATTTGAAAATAACGTCCATTGGAGGCTTGGCAAATCGGAAAAATTATATCTGACATTACTACGGGGGGTAATACGTACCCAATCACAATAGAAAATAGTGAGACTCATACTTGAGGTGCGAATACCAGCAATGTGGAGGGCGTGGCAGCGGCAGCTGCAGGTGCAGAGTCGACAGCCCAGGATTTCCACAACACATGTCCTCATTTACTCTGAGAGCGCATCCGTTTGCAGCGTCAGACGGGCGAGAAAGAGCAAAAAGCTCTCTTCAATTGGGACCACGTAATTGGACTGATCTCTTTGGCAGACTAGCACAAAGGAGTTGATCCAAAATCGCCTGAAATATGTAGGACAATTTTATACAAATTTAAAGCCCTTTAGTTATTCTCTTACCTTGTTTTATATCGAACAACCCGATGTGGTGCACCCAGGGAGAAAATATCCGCTTTCCGCTTGGGAAAGGAAACAACTATTAAGCATCTAGCTTAGTCTGGTAACGCGCAACCGTGCGCTATATCCTCGCAGTAGTCCTAGAAAATTATAAAAAAGTTAAACATTAGTTATTTATAGTACGCAACATAGAAACCAGCCAATGGGATTGGTTAAGTGTTAAATCGCCGTCCAGGTGCACGCCATACGATAGGGAGCCGAGCAATGCGGAAGGCAACTAAATAAAAGAATAAACATTATATTTTATGACCATCAATAGTCCTGACACGTACGCGTCCGAGAAGGTATGTACATAAATCGCAAATTGGACGCTATTTGACCAATTCATTCCAATTATATTTTTTGTATAGCTTCAAACGACTTTAATTCTCAACAAAACAACACATCTTATTGACTTCTGAAGTAAAACTAACACAGAATGAGATGAGACTGTCCAATTTGAGCGTAAATATGTATGTATGTATGCATGTGTAAATGCGTGCTTGTGCATTATCTACATATGCGGACATACATAACTAACGGACGAAGAAACGGCACACATAAAAGAGATCAAGCAATCGGTAATGAGATAAATTCTTGTTAGGAGCGATGAGCAACAACAAATATTGATGGAGCGCGATTTATTTGTAGATAACGCTTAAGCAGACACACATTAATAAGTAGACAAGAAGGAAACAAATGCACAAGCAAGTTTATGCAGGCCGACACACAAATATGCACAATGTTTATGAACTATTATTGCTTTTTGTGTGCTGATTTTTGTTGTCCGCTTTGCGCCAGCGCGACGCAGTTTTGTGTTAGTTTCACCGCAGTGGTGAATACGACAGCTATCAGGCTGAAGATTTTGCACAGCCGCTGTTAATTCGCACTTGTGATTGTGACAATTTGATGAATACTGAATGATTTTAATTTATAAAATAAATATAATTTATAGTAGTTTTTAAAGCTTGAAACGAAGCTGCTTGAAATGAAGCTTTCAACATATCATTAATTGAAAAACACTCTAACAATTTTTTTTGCTGTGCATCATATTGACTATTGGGGTCAACTAATACAAAATGATGTGCAAAGCGGACGAAAAAGCACCGTACAGAAAATAAACAGCATGAGCACGATGCACAAGTGAAGTAGATAACATACAAGCAAGGGCAAATTGATGCGCGAAAGAAAGAGATGGCCTGTTTGGGTTGTTACTTCATTTGGCGCTCCCTGCATTGCTTTGTAGAAATTCTTATGCTGAATTGTTCTTGCTATTTTGTTGTCGTTTAAGCCTTACAAAAAAAAAACAATGTTTTTAACACTATTAATTGGGTAGTTGTTATCGAATTCAAGGCCCGCTCACAATATTTTCTGTTATTCACTATTAATTGGGTAGTTGTTATCGAATTCAAGGCCCGCTCACAATATTTTCTGTTATTCAGACTTTACATTACTTTACTTTACAATTCTGTTTGCATGTCTACAAAGAAGGGTATATAATCTTCAGCGTGTCAAAGATGGTTTATTTAGTCTTGTGTGATTTTTGGTAAAAAGCGCCATCTACAGAAACTCCTTGTTCGATAGCGCCATCTACAGAAACTCTTTGTTCGATAGCGCCATCTACAAAAACTCTTTGTTCGATAGCGCCATCTACAGAAACTCTTTGTTCGATAACGCCATATACAGAAACTCTTTGTTCGATAGCGCCATCTACAGAAACTCTTTGTTCGATAGCGCCACCTACAGCAATACAGCATAAGTAGAATCGTAGTTCATTTAATAACCGCATGGCGTCGCCACTTTCATTGCTCATACGCCCTGCGCCACATTTGCGCTTGCCATCAAATGTGATTTCAAATTGAAACTCGCCGCTGCCGAATAAAAAGCCCGTTACATTGCAATCAAGCAGAATGCTTGACGTAATCTAAGGCCATCTCTTTCTGCCAGCCGCACGCTCTCGCTCTTTGACTAATTTTCGGCTGTGCTGGGAAACAAGTCGAGCGACAATTTCGCCGGCGCTTGGTGGGCGTAGAACAGGAAATGGTCGATTTGTGTGCCATTTATAAAGCGCACCGAGAGGAGAGATCGCCGATGTGAATGAGAATACGTATATGCACATATATGTATGTGTACACATGTATGTAAAATAACTGTTGCATAAGTGTTTTACCTAGTTCGGGCACATGCAACAATTTCGCGACTATTTTAAGCAATCAATGGCTATCAATAGCATTAGCTGCTGCAGTTCGCCTTAGTTCTAGCCAATACACAGAGAGAAAATGTCTTCGAAAAACTTGAACTAATCACAAAATTATTAAAAATTTAAAAAGATTACTTTACACCTACTTATCTAGATTTAAGTTCTATATTTGCTAATATTTTAACGAATACGGCTTATTTGTCGTGCTTTTCGCTCAGTGTACTTTAATAGGTACTATGTGCATTCATTCATTCAATGAGTAAAACGTAATTGCATTTCACATTGCACTTTTTAATGCCCCATCATTGTCAGTTGTCACAATTGCTTTTGTCTATCTCGAAATGGGCTTTGAGAATCGCGTAGAGAGGTGTGTGAAATGAAATGTTTTCAACTTGTCAAAGTGCGTTTAATAGAGCAATTCACTTGATGAACTAAGTAAGCGAGCATTAAAAGCTTTTCACGCCAATACAACACTAAGATATATTTCAATCAGAGCAATTCAAGAGAAGCAAAGATTTCTGATCTGCACTCTATATATGTGTATCTTATATAGAAATGATTTAAAACATTCTCAAGCTCAAATATAAAAACATACTTACGTTGTTTGGTTGCCTAAATGTATCCCTTTCTTGGAGAGATCAGCCCCAGAGTTTGATTTATGTCAGATTCTGCTAGATCAGATTTTACTATATGATTTAGTCTTCGGGCTGCGCAGTCGCTTCCTTGGACAATATATTCTTTGGAGGCGAATATTGTTTCTGGAACGAAAAGCAGCACATTTTAATTTTATATTTGATTTGTTATTAAATACGTTTTATATTAATATTTAACTAGTCCCGACTACAGTTTGTAAGCAAATTCTAATAATTATTATTTAATAAAAAAAGTCAAGTTTCCGTTTATAAACCAAGCGGAATCGAATACCGAATTGCTGCAAGTAATAAATAAACAAAAGAATCGATGTCAAGTGCGTTTGTCAGCAGAAACTTTTCCCGCAATTGTAACATAAAACAGGAATTTAGTAATCACATACAAAACTGTATATATAGTTATAGATGATGGTTAAGTGTAAAAAGCATTTCAAGGCTGAATACATGAAATTTTGTTATTATTGCCAAACAATATTGATTTTCTGTTTAGCCTGAGATTTCCACTGTGCCTATTGCTTGTCTAATATATTTCCCTTGAATAGTTGTCAGTCGAGGGAATATTTATTTGAAATTCTATCCGTAATAATCTGGCAAATTCATAAGAGACACTCGAGAGACGCTGAAAGACAATGCTCCTGTTGTTGTTACCCGGCGGCTCTCAATTGAAAGTCAAGCTTGCGGACGCACACACACACATACTCAAACATACTCATACACAATGCGCGTATACTCATATGTATGCATATGTACTCACTTGTACTCATATATACTTGCACTTAATACACGTATCTGTGCGAGTCGCGGCAAGTGGACAAGCCGAATGGAAAACGGCCGCAACTAACAATACAAATTCTAATGGACATACTAATAGCAATAATAGCAATAATAGTAATAATATTAATAATAGTAGCAATGAATTGCATAGGCTGAGAAATCAAGGCAGCAGCCAGACGGGAGGCGACTTTATAAAGTGCGCTCAGTGTCAAAGGAAATCATATTTCATCTGGCAATTAGCCCCGACGAGCCGTGAATTTCTTTTCGCATTTGCTTTTTTTGTTTAATTGGCCACAGAGCTTCTCTCGGCTAGGGCAAATACTGGAATAATACCTACCAAATACACTTACACGGAACATAATCGGAGTCTTCCAATTCAATTAACCGAAATTGTGTCACGCGCTCGTCTCCATGTCGCTGGGCTAAAGACTTAATCCAATACTTGTCCAACTTGTCTGCACAGACTGGTGGGGTATATAGGCTTCTCTGTTGCCATATACATACATATATTATAGAGTAGGGTATATACGCTTCTCTGGTGACTTTTGTGCGTGCATTTCTTAGGGATTGGGATGTTGGCATTTGCACTTTCATTTGGTAGGGTATATACGCTTCTCTGTTGGCATATACATATACTGTAGGGTATATACGCTTATTTGTTGCCATATACATAAATTGTAGGGTATATACGCTTCTCTGTTGCCATATACATATATTGTAGGGTATGTACGCTTCTTGGTACCTCGTAGCAGGGTATAACGTTTGTTTGATGGCATTTGTGCGTCTGGATTAGTTGATTTTTTCGGAGAACCTTACCCTACAGCAAATGTTCTTTATGCCCTGCAGGAAACGTGTAGAAAAAGAGAAGAATATTAGTTATGAAATATATACCTATAGCTTATATAGAAACTTTATCCCAGCAAATATGAATGAAACCTATATTTACCACATTTTGCTAAACTACTTCAAATTATTAAAGTACTTCAGTTTATTTTGGTAATATTCAGGAGAAGATATTTGAGATTATTTGTGAGTGTATTTTTGGACTGTTTTTAGTACTAATAAGTTATACTTTATTTTATAATATAATGTAAAATGTTTTGAATAATTTCCAGTACATTATTTCTTGCACTATATTCAAATACTTAAAGTTCCTTAAATTCTTCAGAGAATTTCGCTATATTTAATTGTATAATTATTGCACTATATTCAAATTCTTCAAGATCTTCAGTCTATTTTCCTAATATTTATAAATTATAATGAGCAGATCTTGGGAATTTGCATGACTTTATTTGGTAGACAGTATTTTAAGCGCGGTTTTTTGTTTTTTTTTTTTAGTACTAATTTGTTATATGTATATTATAGCTCGACACAGTGTAAATCTGAATGTATCTTGATTAAGACCGACACTTGTTGCTGTTGTTCAACACGTCGCACAATTTTGCATATGAGAAGCCAACTGCGACGTCGACCGCGACGTCGACGCCGACGCCGACTGAGGCTGAATGGCTGCGTTAGCGTCGCTGCAGCAGAAGAAAATCTGTTGCGGCCCTCTGTGGCAGTTGTCAAAGCGAGAGAAAAGAATCTACTTGATTGAATGTGTGGCACGATGATTGCTCTGGCTGCTGCTGCTGCTGCTGCTGATGATCATGATGGTCGTAATAATGACGATGATGATCGCAGCGCTGGGGATAATGATCAACGCCTGCGACTTGAAACGCAGGCGTCGACGACGCAGCTCTGGGGCTTTGGGCTGGATTATGGCACGAGCTGACGACTCAGTTGAGTCCAATTTCTGGAACGGGAAGTGTCGATCAGTCTGTCAACGCGAACGAGTGCGCCGCAGCCCGAAGAAAGGAATATCCAGGATATAGACACGCATAGCCTAAAGCTATATAGACCCGATATATCGAAGGATACTCCATTGTTCAGACGCGGCAAAGTCGTGGAAAAGCGTAAAAAAATGCCAACCATAACCGAGGACTGCATCGATGGCTTTCAACAATATTATTCGCGTCCGCCGGAGCCGCCCAAGAAGAAATCGTTCAAGCAGATGATTCACGATCCTGAGGATAATTCATATTTTGGCAGGACTATCGAAAGCTGGGGTGAGTACGGCTAAATACCAGCCAGGGCCAGGGGAAACGGCCATCTTTTGCTTTTTTCTTTCAGCAGTTACGTAAAGCGCACAGCGTAAATCTTAATAAATGTCAAGCTGTGCCAGTTTGGATTTAATCAAAATCTTTTGTTGCCGCATTAGCGCAACACACAGTTACAGATAGGCACGGATACAGATACACACAAATACAGAGTTACACAGACAAAGACACGGATACGCACAGATACGGATATAGCTACGCAAAGATACAAATACAGATACAGATACAGATACAGATACAGATACAGATACAGATACAGATACAGATACAGATACAGATACAGATACAGATACAGATAAAGATACAGATACAGATACAGATACAGATACAGATACAGATACAGATACAGATACAGATACAGATACAGATACAGATACGGATACAGATACAGATACAGATACAGATACAGATACAGATACAGATACAGATACAGATACAGATACGGATACAGATACAGATACAGATACAGATACAGATACAGATACAGATACAGATACAGATACAGATACATATACAGATACATATACAGATACAGATACAGATACAGATACAGATACATATACAGATGTACATACAGATACAGCTACCCACAGATAAAAATAAGGATACGCACCGATATAGATAAAGATACAGATGCAGATGCATATAGATACATATGCAGATACAGACACCCATATAGAGATACAGATACGCACAGATACAGATACAGATACACATACATAGATACTGCAGTTGTGCATATGGTTGCCAGACTTCCACGCTTGGCACTTTGCTGTTCTCTTTGACCTTTGGCGACACACACACACACACACGCACACAAGTAGTACAGGGTACTCGACCAATATGCCGGTCAATTATGTCATTATGCAATCAAAGCATGTACCATGGCACCGCAACAACAACAACAACAACAAGTCGTAGTTGAGCTTATAAAACACGGTCCCACATTTGCTGACATTGACTGAAAGTTCTTTTTTATGTTTTCGCAATTCGATTAGATTTATGCTTTTGCAGGGGAAAATTTGTTATTGTATTCAATTAAAATAAAGGAAATTAAAGCGCGCAATTTAAACATATACATTTTGAATATTTGTGAAAAATATTTAATTATTCGTTGAAATCACAAATTTGCAACAATTGAGCTTTTCTATTAGCTCCAGCGAAAACATTCAAGGCACAATCTTTTAGAAGGTTTCCAGCAGTTAGAAGTAGAAGAATTGGTCTTGATAGAAGAGAGGAATTCCTTAACATAAAAGTGATGAAAGTGCAAATCCACCCGCAAGTGGGGAAAATGGATGTAAACGGTTGAAGGAAATTCCTTGTTTATCATCCGAACAGCCTAAAAACTGTTATATTGGCTCCAGCGAAAACATTCAAGGCACAATCTTTTAGAAGGTTTGCAGCAGTTAGAAGAAGAGAGAGAGAAAGAAGAGAGGAATTCCTTAACATAAAAGTGATGAAGATGCACGCGATTAGAGCAATTCCACTCGCAAGTGTGAAAAATGGGTGTAAGCGTTTGTATGCAAATTTTTGTTTATCATTCGAACAGCCTATAAACCATTTTCAATAATCTTTTTTCTTAAATCGCTTTCATACTTTTAGGAAAGTGGGCGTCAAAGATTTGATGTTAAAATTAAAATTATATTCAAGAATATTTTTATGAAAATATCATTTAAGGCTCGTTTTACACTTCTGAGAATATCCAGGTGAAAAATTGTTGGCAATGGTTGTAAGGGAGAAGATTCAAATAGCGTCTTATCGGTTTTAAACCTATTTTCACAACTCGGAAAAAGAAACTTTACACTTTTTGGAAAACACGAAAATAATTTTGAATAATAGAGCTTAAAAAGTGAATATGTCTTTGAGCAGTTGTGAAAGTCGTGTAATTATAATTTTGATGCTTTGCTGCTTTAATTAAGCACATTTATTTGTATAAATTAATTTTCTATAAATGTTTAACATATAAATTGAATATAATGTGATGGGCCTTAACCTGTTTGTGGCATTAGCCGATTGTGAAATGCAATCTGATTGTGTGTGTCTCAAGTAACTGATGGACAGCCCGTCCTTTGAAAGGAGTGCAGCTAACGGTATATATAACACATGGCATAAGACAATGCACATCTTGTTGGCCATTCAAGGGGAACGTTTACCGTTTTAGCCATGAGCCATCATCCATAAGCCACAAGCCACAAGCCACAAAGCCACAAGCCACAAGCCATAAGCCACTTCCATGTCACTCATTGAAAGGCTATCCATTATGCCACAAATGGACGGCTGTCAGTCAGAGATTGGATACAAAGGACAATACTCAGGCCAAGTAGAGCCCGGCCAGCGCCCAGCCCACCCCCTACTTAGCATGCGGCACATGTGTGTGTGTGCACACTCAACGGACGACAACTAAATAGATAGAGTCTGTGCTCGCTTTGTGGTTTGAGGACTTGCTAATTGGAACACGTCATTCGGTCTGTGTCACCGCTGGACACCTTTTTATTTAGACTCTGCCCATTCTGCGATACGAGCTCTTTTATGTTTTACAAAGAAGCAGGAGAGAGGGCAAGAAAAAAAACCGTTTTAAATGTGGCCGACTATGGGAAAATACAAATCTGGGGCTTGTCACACATTTCGCATGAAGGCTTGCGCGCGCACATACACACACACGCGCAGATACGCACACGCACACACAAATACATGCTCAACCTCATTCAGACTTAATCCGTACACATATTCCACGCAAATATTTGCCGCTTTTGCTAAAAAAAAAAAGGAACGGAGTTTCTGCGTAGTAAAAGCCGCGTATTATGGCCAGAACAACCCTTAGCGATGGGCAGCAGCAACCCTCGTGCGGCAAGCGGCAAGCAGCAAGCGGCACTGGAAAGCGACAGAGTTTGAATGAAGTTGTTTGAAAAACTGGTTTATGCGGCCACGCCAAGCTCTCCCTCTCTTTCTGCCTTTATCTCACTCTGCCCAACTCCGCTCGCTGTTTGTGCTGCTCTAAAAGTGGCTCAAAGATACACAAAACACTTGCTGGTGTTTGTATAAGTGTAAAAGTGGCCGTTACTTTCCAGTGATCGCAATGATCCTGCAGTGTTTACAAACGCAGCGAGAGAGCGCGTAGAAGAGTGAGCAGCGTATGAGAGTGTAGAAGAGCTGCACTCAAGGCCATTCAATAAGCGCTGCAATTTGAGTGAGTACGCGACTCTGGCTCTGCAATTGTCCTCAGGGCCGCAACACTTGCGACAACTACAACAACAACAACGACAATTGCAAACAATGCAGTTGCCGCAGTTAACTGTGCATTTGAATTTGACAAATGCATTTGACAGCTGGCACGCAATGGCAGCCTTTGAGCGCATATAATATAAATATACTGCAAGAAATTAGGGGAATTCCAGTGTTGTAAATATAAAAATATAATATAGCATACAAATATAATATTATAAATGATAAATATTTTGAAATAGTAATAAAATCACAAAAAAATTAACAATTAATAGTTAAAGAAATTGCTTTTAAGAACTCAGAGTTATAGTTTGTTGATTAAAGTACATATTGCATATGTTATACTTAAATTGACAATAATATTTAAGCCGAAAATATGCCTATTATTTATTTACACTGAAATACATATATTGCTGGCATTTAAATAGCCTAAATTGTTAACTGAATCTATACATTTAGTACATTCAGTACACTTGAAGCTTTTGTTTCCACGAATTATGAAACCGCACTTGATACAAAAATTGGATACAACAATATGCAGCTGTTGCAACAGATGATTCATGCATTGAGCTCTCTCTTCTTTCTGGAAGTCTCTCAAATTATTTGTGCTTATGAATCATTATTAAAAAATGAATTCGCCGAGTTGCAATAAAGCATTTCTTTAAAGAAGCAACACTTTAATTTCGCTCAGTGTAGCACTCACTTTGCACAAAATGTACAGCGGCAACAAACATAATTTGCGTTGCATGCGCCTAATTAAAACAAGTGCAGCAACAACAACAATGCAACATCAATTACTGGGCAGGGCCCAGGCCCGAATCTCAAGCCCCAAAAATAAACCCAATTGCGAGTCACTCAACAAAATGTAAATGCCGCCAAAAGCGGGTTTTGCACTCAAAACAAACTCAACGAAAGCAGCGAGAGCGCGAGAGAGCGCAGCAGAGGCGCCTGGCTGAACGGTTGTTGTTGCTGCTACTGCTGCTGCTGCTGCTGCTGAGCCGACTCAACTCAACTGAAACTGAACTCAACGCCAAGCCAAGTCTGTTTTGTTGGCGGGCTGCTCAGTGGCCAGACTTCAGTTTCGGTTTTCAGTCTGAAATTTGTTTTGAGCGTCGTCGAAACGTTGCATTAGCGAAGCGGGCAGCGGTCGCAAGCCAAGCGGGGCAACTTATACAAAAAAAGATATAAATTAATATAAAAAAAAAGAAAAGAGGCAAAAGCTAAACTCTTCTTTGTGCAGCAAAAGAAGTCCCGGCCTGGTTGTGTGTTATATTTTTGTGTGTTCTTCAAGTGCCTGGAAAGAAGAAGCAGCAGCAGCAGCAGCAGCAGCAGCAAGTGAAGTGTGCGTGTGTGTGTTTGTGTTTGCCGTTTGTTATTGTTGTGCTCTGCTCTTGTTCTTCTAGCACGAGTGGCTGCTGCATGAGTTAAAGATATAAACTGCAAGCTAGCTGCAAGTTTAAGGCCAAAACGTTTCACTAACACGTTCATTCATGTGCTCAAGATATATGTATTTCCAAATTTTGTCACGCCCGGAATGTACACATAGATACACACACGCACACGCACACACACACACACTTAGCGTAGCTATTAACATTTATGGGCGCTCGACGCGTAGCTCCGGCTGCTGCTGCTGCTGCTACTGCTGCTACAAAAAGGTGTGGTTGTGACGGCGGCTTTAAGAGCGGTTCCACTCAAAGTCAAAGCGGCAGCTAAGAGCTACAAAACAATACACAAGCATATGCTCAAGAAATACGCGCGTGTGTGTGTGTGTGCGTGCGTGTGTGCGTGTAGTCGCATTGTGTTTAGCTTTAGAAGCGAAAAACTTCAACAAAGCCCTTAAACATAAACATGAAGTTTAGCATAGGACAAAAGATACAAATGTATCTGGAACGTTCAAAGTCAAAGTCAGCGCAAAAAGATACAAAATGCATGAGACGGCAACATTTGCAGGCGGCAAACGCGGCAGCAGTCTTTTTGGCCCAGTTGCCGCACTGTTGCACTCTGCGGCAAGATACATTGGCATTGTATCTGTGAGATACGCTCTGCGGCAGCTCATTGGAATATGTGCTAAGGGCTGACACGTATTTTCAGGGGGTGAAATTGCCAGCACGGGGGCAGGACAAAAAGGCGCCAAAGTTATCGTTCATCTTGTTGTTGTTGTTGTTGTTGCAAGATTCGGAAACGAGTGTACAGAATTTAAGCAAAACGAAGCAAAACAAAACAGAGAAGTTGCGGCAAAAGAGAGCGAGACAGATGCCAAGAGCAAGAGCGAGAGCGAGACCGACTGACAAAATGCGGATAGGTGTAGAAAAGTTGTAAAATGTGTGAAAAAGAGCCGAAAAATATAAAAAATAAAACAGAAACAACGAAAAACTAATTGAAAAATGTGTGCAAAATAAAAATATACAAAATAATACAATATTAATTAATAGAAAAATAAATATTATTTTGTAATAAAAGAAAACTAAAAAAGAGCTAATTACTTAAAGAATTTTATTTAAATAGCCAAGTTAAAATCATCATGATTTTTATATGCAAATTAAATACTTTAAATCTATGTATGATATTTTAATTAAATCTTTTAATATAATAAAAATTTTCAAATGAAATCTGATTGAAAATGTGAGTAAAATATAAAATATTAAAAATTAATATAAAATATAAAAACCAAAAATATATAAAAAAAAATCCATATGAGAAACAAAAAAATATTAAATATTTTGAGACTTCTTTACTACATAATATTAATATAAATAAAAAATGAATAAAAGAAAATAAAAATAAATTCTGATAATTTAAGTTTAAATTAAATGGACAAAAGCATAAAGAATTTAATATGTTAAATATATGTTTTAAATACAATAAATATTTTCAAATGAAAACCAAAAATTGTCAACCAAAAATTAATTAATTTAATGAATTTATGAAAAAGGTTATCTTTAAAAATAAAATATTTATTTTAAAATAAAAACCATAAATTGGCAAAAAAAAAACGTTAAATTAGATTAAAGATTACACTTCAATATTATAAATTAATAAATAAAATGCAATTAAAATTGTAAATAAAAAATAATAAATTATTTTAAATAACAAGAAGCACACACTTCATATTAAAAACAATAAAAAATAATGATAACAAAACGTTAAAGATAAACAAAACTCTCTTAAGCAGCAGCAACAACAATAATAATAATAAAAATAAAAATATTAATAAACAAATGCTTAAAATGATAATAATAATTCTAATATATCTACAGGCTCTCTAAATTGCATAGTTGTATAATCGAATCAAGCAACGAGCGAGTGCATATATATATTTAATTATTTATTACTGTACAAATTAAAATAAATTAAACAAAAACAAAGAAAAAAAAGAAAACAACCCACCAAAATGTCGAAACCGGTACCAATGCCATATTCGGAAACGAACGATGATCTACACAATTTACGTAAACCCAAACCCTTTCATTTCGGTAAATTTTTATATAACTCCAAGGAGGGCACGGTCATGGGACGAGATCGCGCCTCATGGGGTAAGTCAAAGGCAATGCAAAGGAAATACTATTAACAAGACTATAAAGAAATATCCAATTAAGTAAACTTTAAGTACAAGTTCTAGAGAATGAGTTCATCTTGAATATTTTCCCATTTATGCCTAAAATGCGCACCTGTAGCTTATATGAAGCTCCACATACATGCAAATATAAATAATTACAAACTTAATTGAAAAACCAGGTATAACGAAATTTGATTTAAATGCCAAAAGGCTAGGCTGGCAGATGTCTCAAGTCTCAGGTCTGCAATTAGTGTCCAGCTATATAATTAGAGTGTCCAGCTATATTAAATATCATATATCACAATAAGTATACCCCTTCCCTTGACAAATCACTCACTCAAGTAAATGGCCTCAAAAAGTATTCACCTTTTTTTGTCGAGTAGTTGCAAAACATTTCAATTATGAGCAGCGGTCGCCAACTGGCGCCAGTTAATAAACTTTGAGACGTTAGAAGTGCCATCTGTGTGTTAGCTCTTAAAGTTACAAGACGTTTATATACTCTAAATGACAACTACGGCAAAAGAAATTATAGAACATAATTCTATGGGGAAAAGTTAGCGAAAAGTTTAGTCCCATTTTGGCGAAAAGTTGAGAAAATTATAAGCAGAAAAAGCTTCTTATATATTAAAGATTTAGTTGTATGTGAGTAATATTGCTAAATAATATTTTTATTCTTCAGCTAAGAACAAATATTGATTTAATAAAAGCAAGAATACTTTAGAATTTTTAATGCCAGAGATGATTTTCTTTTAGTTTTCCTTCTATTATAAATCAAACTATATAGTTTACATATATACATATAAGACCATATTTCATATATGAAAAGTCTACAAAATATCAACGGGATATATTTGAAAAAACTCATATTTAATGTATGATAAACCTAACTATATATATATGGTTTATATATAATATTAATAAAATGTACATTTTCCTTTTTGATTTTGCCATATTTTAAGACTCAGAAAGTCTTAATTTGGATTTAATTATTTAATTTTGCATTTAAACAAATATGTTCTTTTTTCCCTCTGTGTACTCGACCCGAAAAGAAGCGTTACCATTGCAAGTGAGCTAAATAAAATAATATTGCTTCATAATATTATTCTACACCAAAAAAACAAATATTGTTTTATTGAAACCAAGAATCTTTCGAATATTTGAACAATATTAAAACCAGACTAGCGAGATATATTTCATATATGATAAATACATATACATATAATAAATCTAACAAATCCCACCACAAAAATGTTTGTAAATAAAAGCATATTTCATAAATGAGAAATCTTACTATATTTGTGGTTAATTTGTGGTATTACTAATTAAATGTACACTTTCTTAATCATTTTCTAATATTGAAAGACTCAGCTAAATCTACTTTGATTTAAACAAATCTTTTATTTAAGAATATGTTTGTTTCTCTTTGTGTACTCGACCCAAAAACAAACTCAAGCGTCTGTCTCTGCGCGAGCTATTTCCCGCTTCCGCTCTTTTGAACACTCGCTCACACTCTCTGCCTCACCCTCTCTCACTCACACTTGCACTCGCAAACGCAGACTCTACGGCCACTTGTTAAAGATGTTGGCCAAGTTGAGGTTATGTGCACAGCGCTGCGTGTCAATGTGTGCGTGTGCCCGATCGGCAAAGAGAGCGCAGAGCAACTTGCAAATGCGCTCTTAAGCGACGGCACACTACGAAACTGCGCTTACGTGTCGCTGAGCAAGACGTGCAAGTCTTATACTTGGCACTCACGACTTATACGTTTATGATTCACCGCTCTCTGCTGCCTTTCTTATACACATCTTTTGTTTATGATTTGCTGAGTTAAAGTCTGGCGCTGAGCGACGACTCCGCGCTTCATCAATTAAGAGTTTAACCCATTGGCGACTTTTGGTTTTTAAGTGTTTAATTTAATCAGCTCAATTGAGCGCGCGACATTTCAGCTATATGAATCTTGAATAATGCTTATTTAATGGGGGGCCTGTTCAATCTAATTTGGAATCGTAATCTAATTATGACTCTTGCTTTCAGCCAAGATCGGCATCTTCTATATAGTCTTCTACGGCGTGCTCGCCGCCCTGGTGGCCATATGCATGTGGGCCTTCTTCCAAACTCTGGATCCACGCATACCCAAATGGACCTTGGACAGCTCGATCATTGGCACGAATCCAGGTATGACTATATAAACCATAATACAAGCGATAATTTACATTCATAATTTCCGCCCAGGTCTGGGATTCCGCCCACTGCCGCCCGTCGACAATGTGGAGAGCACATTGATCTGGTACAAGGGCACGCAGCATGAGAACTACAAGCATTGGACGGATTCCCTGGACGAGTTCCTGGCGGGTAAGTTTCTAAAGCTGGTTTAGAAGACTTTCAGCCCAGTTTTTGGCAATTGGCCAATTGCGTGTGCCAAGTTTATGTTACAAATGTCCTTGAACTGATTTCTATTTTATTGCTCGCATTGTTGTTGCTAGGGTTAACTTAATTGGGTCGCTTTACAACACGCAAACTGTTTTGCATATATTTTAATTAAAATACAATATTATAGATTTTTTGTAGTGGGATTTTGGTGGGTTCCACAAATCGGGGTCGTAACTAGGCTGAGCATATATCGAATTAATAAATAGTTGACAGCTATACAAAGCTAAGAAAACTTACAGGATAGTAAACGGATTCAGTTGAAACTTAGGAACTGCAGCTTCAGAGATTAAAGATAAGGAAAAGATTTTGTTCTTCCATCTGGACCAAAAGATGTGATGAACTAACGAACTTAAGAGTTCACTTTTTAATCTTGAGGAGAACTCAAGCAGATTATCATAAAGATATAGAAGATATTCCGGACAGATAAATAGACCTACTTGGTATGGTACAAATTTAACGTTCATTTGTTTGCCATAGTGTACAAAGTGCCCGGGTTGACACCGGGCCGCGGTCAGAACATCTACAACTGCGACTACAATCAGCCGCCGCCGAAGGGTCAGGTGTGCGATGTGGACATTAAGGCCTGGTCGCCGTGCACCAAGGAGAACAACTACAGCTACCACAAGAGTTCGCCGTGCATTTTCCTCAAGCTGAACAAGATCTACGACTGGCTGCCAGAGTTCTACAATAGCTCCCAGAATCTGCCCGGCAATATGCCCGAGAGCCTCAAGACCTACATAGGGCATGTGGAGAAGACCGAGCCGCACAAGGTAATATTGAGAATATTTAAATTGAAATTAAATAAACTTAAACATGCTTTTCCTATTTGAAATACAGCTGAACACGATTTGGGTGTCCTGCGAGGGCGAGAATCCTGCCGACCAGGAGAACATTGGCCCCGTCAACTATTTGCCGATACGCGGCTTCCCCGGCTATTTCTATCCCTATCAGAACTCCGAGGGCTACCTGAGTCCCCTCGTCGCGGTCCACTTTCAGCGCCCCAAGCGTGAGTACATATATCTCACATATCTTCCGATATATCCGATAAATATATTCCATTCCATTGATTCCCAACAGGCGGCATTATCATCAATGTGGAGTGCAAGGCCTGGGCACGCAACATTGGCCACGATCGCAAGGAACGCATTGGATCCGTGCACTACGAGCTATTGATTGATTAAGCTGCACGTTAAATGGAGCTCTTCCCATATAAAAAAAAAAAAACAAGTAAAAGACGCTCCTTTGTCTAATTTAAATCAACACCAAAATGCAGTTTTTTCCTAAGAAATACTATTAAATAACAGACCATAAATTATATACAAGAAACAAAAAAACACCGACAGCAAACATTTTTGGATACAAAACAAATTTTTGAATGTAGCTTCTTCTTATACAACAAATACGATTTAAAAATGAATATATATATATATATACATATATATAGCAAGAATGTAGTCTAGCGCCTAAGAGGATTTCTTTAAATTACGAGCGATTTTTGCATTAAATATATAAACAAAAAAAACAAAAAACAAACAAATTATATTATTAAATTGAAATTATAATAATTTTAAATTAATTATAACAATGCTGAATGCTGTTTTGAGAAATGAAAACTCGTTAATTGAAAGTGGAAAGTTGAAAGTTGAAAGAAGTGCGAATCTCATTTAACGACACAAATTTACAAATGTTTATTGCTTATTTTCAATTGCAAATCTAAACTGCCATTAAAAAAAACACACACACACACATTAGTTAACAACAATTAAAAGTTAACAATGTAAAAGAAAAACCTTTTGACCAAAAAATGAAAATGAAACTTTGTACGAACTAAAGCTGCAGCTGACCAATTTCGTAGCCAAATACCAATTTTTCTATTAACCAAACAATTTTCCAACTAGTTTATAGCATAAACTAAAAAATACTTTTCTCCCATTTAACAAAAAACAATCTTATATACAAAAACAAACTTTATACACACCACAATCTATATTAAATGTTTTACATATTTACAATATATTTATAGCATATAAATCTAACCCACAAGTCGAAGTGAAATGTTTAACAATCAAAAGGAAAAGCAACAAACACAAATTTGCAGCGTTTAGTTATTAGGCTTATTAATGTTAAATGAAATCAAACAAACAACAAAAATAAAAACAAAATAAAATAAAACAGCAGCTAAGGCTCAACGAATTCATTTCAAACTGTTCTCAATAAAAAAAAGGGCGATACAGAAAAAAACAAACAAAATTTCTTTAAATTTTATTGGAAATAAAATGCTTGAGAAGCTGGTACGATAATAAATTTATTTATTAATTTATTAAATTAGCACAGCATAGCAGCAAGCTTTTGTACGTGCATGCAACATATTTGGGAACAGAATTAAGAATTTTAGATCTTTTATAAATAATTTTAATACCAATATGAAAGGGGCAAAGCATATCAAGAAGCTTTTGTATGCGTGGATATTATATTTGGAAACAAAATGCTTAAGAATTTAAGATATATTATTTATTATGAAAATAACAAATATGTTTGCTAGCGAGCTTTTGTGTGAAAAGAAAGGGGCATAGGGCAAGCTTTTATAAACGAGGATTTTATATTTGGCAACGGAATGCTTTAAAAATTATAAAAATTTAAATAACAAAACGGAGTAGGCAGCATATTTGAACAGACAGCATATTTGGGAACAAGAGAAATTAAAATGCATTCTAAATAATTTAAATAACAAATATATATGACAACAAGCTAAGGGACCATACCATATCAACAAGCTTTTGTATGCGTGGTCTTTATATTTGGGAACAGAACGCTCAAGAGTTTCAGATATATTATAAATTATTTAAGCAACACGAATATATTCAGCAACAAGTTTTTTCCAAAGAAAAAGGACTAGCATATCAACAAGCTTTTGTAAGCGTGGACTTTATATTAGGAAACTGAATACTTAAGATATTAAGACACCATATAAATCATTTAAATAGCTTTTGTATGAACAGGCAGCATATTTGGGAACTAAATGCTAAAGGAATTAAGATTCATTTTAAATAATTGAAACTACAAATATATATGGCACCGAGCTTATGTGCGAGTACGAAAAATGACATAGTATAGCAACAATCTTTTGTATGAATTGGGAAATATATGCGACAATGATATTTTTTGTGACTAGGGTAAAGAATATAGCACATCAACAATGTTTTGTATGAGTATACATCACTTCTGGGATCGAAATGCTTGAGAAACAGGAGTCTCCATGGCAACGAGCATTTTTGCGAATACGAAGAAAGAAGCTCGCATAGCAATAAGCTTATGTATGAGTGGATATCATATCTGGGAACAGAAAACTTTAGGTATTAAGATCCATTCTAAATAATTTACATAGCTAATGTGTGAAAAAGCGAAATTTATAAATGGGAACAGAGCGAGTTTTTGTGTGAATAGGAAAAGGAACATAGCATATCAATAAGTTTTTGTATGCGTAAGCAACAAAGAGTCTACATAGCAACGAGCTTTTTTGTTAAAAAGAAAAAGCCAATTTAGCATAGCAGCTAGCTTTTGTATGAGTCGACATCATTTGGGAACAGTTTGCGATAGAGATTAAGAGCACGTTTTTTTTTTTTTTTTTTTAACATAATTATTATTTATTTTATTTAAAATCTGCCCCTTTTTTGGGCAATAATTAAATGTTTTCTTTGACCTATGGCAGTTATGTATTGCGTGTATCTATGTGTCTGTTTTGTGTGTTTAGTGTAGGGGAAGCAGTGGAATTTGTGGAGTTAGACTCTTTGGGGGAGGTCAAGTGGGTGTTTCCTTTTGAGCCGTCTTGTTGTTGAGTTGATGTTTAAAAGGTTGGTGGCAAGATTATTTGGGTGGTTGCCTAGTCTGGCGATGTAGCGATCACTCAACTTGGCAATTACCTCTTTAACCCAAGGTATATTAAGCTGGCTGTGAATTGTGGTATTTTCATGGTAAATATGCGCGTTAGATAAAATTCGCAGAGCTTTATTTTGAAACCGCTGAATAATGTTCAGGTTGCTCTTGCTGGCGGTACCCCAAAGATGGATGCCGTAAGTCCATGTTGGCTTGATAATTGTTTTATAGATTATTAGCTTGACGCGAAGCTTCAATTTGGACTGTCTACCAATCAGCCAGTAATATTTTTTTAGCTTGTTTTCAGCCTGCTTTCTTTTGCGCACAATGTGTTTACGCCATGTCAGCCGTCTGTCGAGTGTGATGCCAAGATAATTGGGCGTTGTGCTTACCGGAATCTGTAATCCATCTAGGAAAACTTGAGGGCAGTTCCCTTTGCGCAGCGTAAAGGTGGTATGGGTGGACTTTTCCTGGTTTACCGCGATGTTCCACCTTTTCAGCCAGCTGTTTAGGGAGTCCAATTGACGCTGCATAACGGAGGACGCGTACTGCGGTGTGTTGGCAGTTGTAAGAAAGGCAGTATCATCCGCGTACGTGGCAACCAAGAGGCTCTGATCCGGGGTGACAGGCATGTCGGCTGTGTACACCGTGTATAACAGAGGTCCCAGAACGCTGAGCACGTAGCAGCGAGCTTTAAATTTTTATTTAGGAAAAAGAATTCCAATATGGGTGAAGACTTTAAGGTCTTGATTATTATTGGATACGCCTAATGAACTCCATTGAAACCAGCCTTAATCAGGGCAAAAATTAAGAATCAGAGTAGTCTTCTGCTTCATAAACCCCAGAAACAGTTGAAGTAAATTAAGAAAGCTAAAAAATGGTTAGTTTGATGACAATAAGCTTAAGCTAATAAGCTTTAAGAAAGGGAATTAACAATATGAAATTGTAGACAATTCTCTAGACTTGTCTAACAGGTATTTAACTAAATCTGCTCGTCAGTTGATATCTGCCATGATTATGGTTGGGAATATTTTGTCATATGCCGTTATTTGAGTTACATAAAAATAATAATTGCTGTCGCAATGTTGCCTAGCCACATGCTGGCCAGATAAGATAGGAAGTACGACAATGCCCGTAGCACTCGTAACCCAGATAATAATCAGAAATCTGTTCAGTTCAGTCTTTTGCCTTTGGTCAGTCGTGTGGACAAAGTAAGATCGATATGAATGCGCATATATATAGTATAAATGTATTCTATAGATATCTTATCTGGCAATTTGGTCAATTGCGTCATTGCAGCTCATTAATAGAAATCTCGCTGTTAACTCATGATATATTATTTATTTTTTAATGACTTGTCGACGAGTTTTCAACCCAGAGAGGGTTGTCGCCCAGTCTGCAGGTTTTATTATAGGGTATGCGCTCTTCGTATACGCTAGAGTTTCTCAACAATAATTCGCAATTTTATTTAAGATATTATATCGAATCGAGCCATAAAACTATTTCAACTTTTATGCACCGATCTGAAGGGCAGATCAAACAGAGTTGAGGCACGACTTGGCTGCTGTCCCAAGTGAATATTAAGGTGTTAAAATACGAGCAGGTGAGCCAACTTGTGGGTCTAAAGCACTTGAAGTGCTCCACTCATAATAACAGGTTATTTCTGGAATCAAGGCAAACACTAACATATTTGTTGTCTGCGAAGCATTTGATGAAATTAATATTGCGGCGATAAACGTCAGCACGAGTGCGTAGAGTTCTTTCAGTCAGTGCAGTACATAAAATAATACAAAATAATAGGACAAAATATATTTCAAGATTCTTGAGCGCAAGATGAAAGTGTTTATGACTTATGTAACTCCATTTCAATAGAAGAGCTGTGATCAGGAAAAGAGAATCAATGTTCGAACTAGTGTCTGTCAAATAGTTACCAAGTTTACTTGCATTTATCGATAACTATCGATTTTCAGTTTTAATATTTATACTATTATAAAACTATATTAGTGTATAGCTGGCACAGATCAAGTATACTTCTCGTTCTGCGAATCTTCTGCTCTTGCATAACATTATTTTACTCAACATTGACAAATATCGATTTTCCGGTTTGATTTTATTTATTTCATTTACTAACTTAACATTTACATAATATAAGAAGTTATTTTCAATTTTTCTCCATTAATTGTATGAAAACCACATGCAGTTCACGTTTATTTAAATTTATCGATAATTATCGATTTTCAGTTTTAATATTTTGACGTTTTAAAAACTAAACCCACCAAATTCGGCTACAGATCAGCTACAGATATAGCAAGCACAAATCAAGAATATATCTCTTTTTGCGAATCTTCCCCTCTTCCATAACATTATTATACTTAAAATCGATAAATATCGATTATCGGGTTCATTTTTGTTACATTTCTCAAAGATTTGAAAAATTAGAACCACCAAATTCGACAAACTGGTTCAAAATACCTTAAAAAACTCTCAGCATGGTATTTTTTAATGCATGTATGTTAAATTTAAGCGATTTTAATATGAACAATAGCAAGAAATATGGTATGTAATTAAAGAACAGAGTATGTGATTGATTTGATATCTCTTTCAACTATAGCTATTATTATCAGACTTGGGCAGACTTGACTGTCGACTAATTGAGAGCTAATTAGCTGAAACTTGTGTACTTTGCTGATTTGCAGTCAGCCAAGCGTCCAACATACGAAACGGCAAACGGCAAACGGCAAACAATTATTTTTAAAAAGGAAAAAAATCAAAACTTCGCTTTAATGAGGAAGCGTCCCGCTCGCCCAGACCCATCGATAGATGCGCTGTACTGGAAAAATCACACACATTTCAGTTCGAACAAGATAAACTGGTTTCGTTAGATATGACAGAAACCCAGGCAACTCAGCTCAACTCAACTCAACTGGCCCTCCTCAGTATTCCGAGTAGCCCTGTGCCTTTGTGTTTTATGATTTGCTTAAGTCCAACTTGATTTCAAGCTGAAGCTGGGCCCCAACAAGGGAACTCTTTCATGTGTCGCCTTCGCACAAAATAGATTATCAGTTTAACATATATATATGTATATAGATATGTATATGTGTATGTCTGTACTTGGTTAACACGAGCCGGTTTTAACCGACTTCAGTTTCACGTGAGCTCTGAGCAGTTCCCTTTGCCTCTCTGTTAACTTCCATTAATCCATCACAAATTAAGGCATTTGGAATCTGATTTTGCCTAATTCTGCATTTTAATATATTTAAATGCTATTTTAGATACTATTGAACTTTATCTAAAGTGTTGCTTATTCTTTTAATTAAATCTGTTGGCCTAAAATCTTTATTATGATTGGGACAGTTTTAAAAATTTTACTTTTTTCTGTAGTTCTCTAATTTATGTATTACCAGAACATGTTTCAATTGTTAATATACAGAAAATTATCCTCTGCTTTAACTTATTTTTGTTTAATTTTTAATATATAATATATATAATAATGTAAACAAATATAAAATAATAATAATAATAATAATAATAATAGTAATAGTATTAATAATAATAATAATAATAATAATAATAATAATAATAATAATAATAATAATAATAATAATAATAATAATAATAATAATAATAATAATAATAATAATAATAATAATAATACTAATAATACTAATAATACTAATAATAATAATAATGATAATGATAATAATAATAATAATAATAATAATAATAATAATAATAATAATAATAATAATACTAATAATACTAATAATAATGATAATGATAATAATAATAATAATAATAATAATAATAATAATAATAATAATAATAATAATAATAATAATAATAATAATAATAATAATAATAATAATAATAATAATAATAATAATAATAATAATAATAATAATAATAATACTAATAATAATAATTATAATAATAATAATAACAAACAATAATTATTATTATTAAAAATAATGAAAATAATAATAATAAAGAATTTAATTTTTATCTATTTGTTACTTATTTTTATTAAATTATTTAAAAGAAAATTAAATATTTAATAAGCATAAAAAGGCATATTTAAGCTGATTTTGTTTTAATCTATTTTTTCTATGAAAAAATTCAAATATTTCAACAATATGTTTTGACTCATAAAATGATAAAATTTTCTCTAAATGATATTCCTACACTTTAAACAATTTAATTTAATATAATTTTAATAATACTTTGGGAAGTATTGATCTTACAATAATTTGAATTGTGTTGTATCTCTAGATTTTTAATTAATTATACAATAATTTATTTATTCCATTCATTTATACAGCTTTCATTTTTTATTTATTTATTCCCTTCCTTGCGTACAACTGAGAAGAAAAATGTTATAAATTGAGCTATATATATATGAAATTTCAATATTTTCTCTCCACACAAATTCAACTTGAGAGCGTACAAATACAAATACCCAATTCCAGTCAACTCTGCCAACGCATTGTGCTTTATCTAATCAGCAGATAATAAGAATGCCCGTTTATGGCCACGTTTATATGGTACATGCATGAACCCCAAATAAAACTGACGACTGGATGTCTTAGCCGTGCCCAGATGAATTCCTAAGCGGCTAATGAGATGCTCGGCAACAGTGACTGGGCGCAATAACGCGTTGTCAAGTATAATTTAATACATTTATGATGATTACAACAATGAAGCGCACAGATTGAAAGACTGCAGCGTACACCCGACAAAGGCATCACGACTGAAAGACTGTCATGGTACTCACACTCTAGCCTGGGGGCGGGGGCGGTGGCGGGGGGTCAATACTTGAACTTATTTGCAATGGCAACGCGCTCGAGTTGAACTCGAGTTGCGCTCGGAAATGCTCGCTTTTGCGAATTAATAATGTAAAGTTGCTGCGACACTTGACAACAGCGTTTAGCTCGATGACTAATGCAAAAGCCCTTGATGAAAAAAACAGAAACGTTTTTCCATTTTCGCCCTTAAATTCACTCATTTCAGCAAACCACCAGAGCAGAGCAAACACAAAAGCTTCTATATGTACATACACATGTATACAAAACACGAAAATGCACCCAAAAAAAAAAAGGTGTTGTGATGCACAAACATAAAAACAGTACACAAAACATTATGTTGGCGCTCCCATAAAGGAAAAATAAAAACAAACACACACACACGCACGCATTAAACAAAGATAGAAATCAAACTGTGGGAGAGTTAGAGCGAGTAGCCGAATATACAAAAGCCAATGTACTCTCAGTCCTTGTCCATGTATTAGTGTGCATTAGAGAGTGGGAGAGTGCACGAAGAGAGCACATTGTGTTTAATATGTGTGCGTTTTTCATTGCTGCTTTGTGCTTTATTTTAATACATATTAATAAAGCAACAGTTATGCATTAGAAAAAAGCCAGCCACAAGGCGTAGCCAGAACTGTGCGGGTTGGGCCGCTGCCTCAATTATTAAAGAAAATGAACATATGTTTATATAAATGTGCTAAAAGAATTTATAAGGCTGCATTAGAAAATTGACACTGAAATTCATTCGCAGCTGGGATAATTTTCAATTATAATATTACATGTTATATTTGAAAGTATTGTGCATATTATCTTATTTATCGTTTATTAGCTGCGAAAGTCTCTCACTGCAGCGCTCCTGTAATTCACCCTCAACCGTCGCTGTCTGGCCACTGTCTGCATTCTATCAGCCATTCTATTTGCGTAGCCTCAGTGCATGGGAGAGAGCGAGAGAGCGAGCGAGAGAAGGAGCGTTGCTCGCACCTTACAAGAAACGCTGCCAACAGCAACAACAACGGCCACAATAAGCACAACAACATTGGACCTTACGATGACGCTAGAAAAGCGACCACCCACCTCCCGAGCAGCGCTGCCAAGAAGCTTTCTGCTTTCAAAAGCGTTCAACAGCTGTCTGTGCGCAAATACTCGTATCTTTTAGCTTTGGTTGCGTTTGTGTGCGTGTTGACTGAGAGGCAAACGTTACGAAGTGTGAGTGTTGAGCGGCGCAGTAACTGAAGACTGCGCTGTCGACGCTGTCGATTTCGATGTCGGTTTGGCCACCACATTTTGTGGTTCAGTTGGTGATCTTTCGCCGAGAGCGCAACACGCAGCACGCATCACGCAGCGAGATTCGAATACCAGTCGCTTATACCTTAGTAGTGTTTCGTTTGTGTCTTTTTGTGTGTGTGCGTGTATTACAGAGTATTCTCGTAGCGGCAAGTTTTAGAATAACAAATTAACTAAAACTTGAAAAAATAATTAACGAAAAGAAACAGCAAATACTACGTGCTGATTTTTAAAACGAATCACCTTTACAAAGTGTACTGAAGCATTATTGAAAATTGTTCAAATTCTTACGTACCCCGTCCACCGTCCACGTGAGCAGCAAACAGCAAACGCAATCAAAATACGTGCATAAGTACAAACACCTATATACACATATATATATATTTTATAAATAAAATCCACAGCGTGCACTCACGATTTGTAATAACTGTTTGAATAAGAAAAATTAGAAAAAACACAGAAAAAAAAAGCGCCAAAATGTCGAAGAATAACGGAAAAGGTGATAAGTACGAAAATCAATTTCCGCAACCGGCTGCAAAGCAAACCTTGTCGGAAATGATCTACAATCCGAGCAGTGGCGCCATCTTTGGTCGTACTGGCAAAAGTTGGGGTAAGTAAGCCAATAAATAGGGTCGAATTTCTGCCAAAACTTACGCGGAGTTCAGCGAAAGTGCAGCATCTCTCTCTCTCTCTCTCGCCTCACAAACTCAACTATTTTTCGAAACGTCAAAGCTGAGCTTAACTGCGCATGGAGTTCTTCTGAAGGACAGCGCGGAGCCAATAACTGAGGCGCTCTACTCAACTCTCCCGCTCACTTTGTTACACTCGCAACGTCAAAGCTAAGCTTAACTCCTTTAATCAAGGGGCAAAATCGAGCAGTAACCCACTCTTCCCTTTCTCTCTCAATCTCTCTCTCACACTATCTTTATTATGGCAATTCGTAGGTGAGTGGCATATGCATAAGCTAACCCTACGTTAATCGAACGCCAAGTCATTTGAGGTACAAAAAAAAAGGCAACAAAAAAGAACGAAATGAGTAAAATGTTTATATTTACATATGCTGACCGTGTCTACATGTATGTGTGTGCACATGTGCATATGTATATGTACATAAATGCAATTCGGTCAGTCGGAAACGAGTGCGAGTATAAGCAAATAAAATAAAAGAGCTTATCAGCTACGTTTGTTCGCTCTCCGTTTGAGTATGAAATGAAAAACAAGCTCTAGATGTCATTGCCATATGTAACATCTTTTATGAGAAGATAAAAGTGGGAAGGCTATGAAGCTAAGTAGATAAAAATATGCATGTGCTGGCAAATTGATTAGACTAAGCATCTAAATTCACTATAAATTGTCTACATATATGTATACACACACACACACCCATATGAATATTTATTTTTAAATGTGTTAAATTTTATGTAAATCTCGCGGTTTTTTTATGAAGCCGTTTCTACAGTTGCTAACCGCGTAATTAGTATACGACATTTCATTATTTTTCTAGGAAAATTGCTTGAAGTAATGAAATATGCACACAAGATTGTGGTTAAAAAATGTTATAAGGTTTTTAAATGACACCCTTTTTCATGAAATAAATCATTAAAAAACTACAAATCTTACGCTTTCCTTACAAATAATAAGCATATATAAAAAAATATATTATAACTTCTAAATGCACGAAAATAAATTGTTTGTAAAAAAGCTGTTTTAAGTTGCAAAATTCTTCAAAAATGTACCAATTTCTTAACCTGAGAACGAAATTCATATAACCCTTCAAATACCAAATAAAAAAAACTTAAAAAAAATTACTATATTAAGAAATGTTAAATTCTGTTTTATCTTGATTAAAGAATATTCTAAAATAAAATGGAATTTTTTTATTTTTTTACAAAATTTGAGTTCTATTCTGGCCATTCTAGAATTTCGAACACCGTTTTTCTCCAAGTGTACTTCCATTAAAAATATCTATATGACTAACCATGCCTCGAAAATACATTATTCACAAAATATATATTTTTTTGAGAGTTCTGTATTGCCAACTTCCAAGGCTCAAAAAATAAATTAAATAGATAATTACATACATATATTCTAGTTACGTACAGATGAGCGAGCAATTTTATATAGATTTATGTACTACATATATAAAAAAGTCGAGCAACATTAAAATTTCATTTTTATTGCTCACAAAAGAAAAAACCATTTTTTTCAACCAAAAAAAAAAAACAAGATAAAAATTGTATGCAAACAAACACGGACGCACGTTTCTATGTATAGCTAAGGAGGGAGCGAGAAAAAGAGAGAGAGACTGCGAGAGAGAGAGAGAGAGGCATATAGAGAGCAAAACAAAATATAGATCGTAAAAGAGTCGGGGTCTCAGCAACGGTTAATATATCATCATATTCGTTTTGTAATAAGTTCTGCAAGCAAATTCAAGGTTTCGCCCGCTCTCTTGCTTACGCTCTGCCTCTCTCTCTCTCTCTCACTCTTTATCTTAATTTTGGCCCCAGCAAGGTAAATTTTTTTTCACATTTCCAAGCATGATGAATGTTACTCTAGAAACATGGCAAAAATATTAAAATAAAAAAAGTATATAAAATAAAGTAACAAATAAATGTATAATAAAAAAAAAACAATTATTAGATAATTGACTTTCCGCTGTAGCTCATATTCAAAGTATTTTGCCATCGCCTATTTGTTTAGGAATTTGGAACATAATACCCGCACGTAATACCCTCAATATCGTCTAACTTATTTGCTATAAATGTGTTCTAAATTAAAGCCTTAATTAGTTTGCATTATTTTGGGCTCGTAAGACCCGTATTTATTTTTTTTTTATGGCCAAGTTTTCATGATCCTCATAATTATGGCCTGTCTGTTGGCCATTTGGCCTTGCCTGCTAAGCCAACAAATACACATGGGTCCTGCCCTTGGAGCCCCAGCAGAACCCTTTTGCGGACACACCTGTCGTCTGTGGCATATTTAATGCACCCGTGTGCTATACGAAAATACAAATGGCATAGTATTTACCCATATATATGTGTATATATATATAGAAAGGATGTGGGGCGTATAGCCCATTTAGTTGTTGGCTCTATTCTCGCATTTGTGTCTATCATTTAATCAACTTTCGTTTTGCCAATTACAAAAATAATAATCATTGACATGTGCAGTCCATTAAATTATCGACTTTTTTCGAGGTTAGGTCAAAATACTAAAAAATTCCTTAGCCAAATCAAAGTTCAATTTAGTCGGACACAAACACGCTTATTGGACGTTTTAATAAAATACACATTGAAGGGCAGGTTTTATAATTTCCTAGATAAATAAATCTAAAAATATATGTACATTAGCTCTATTGGCCATTTAGATAGAGATATATAAAGTTAGCTAACTAGGTTTAACTACCTAAATAAAGCTCGATTTTAAAGAAGGATAAAGTTTTATATAGAAATTTATATAGACAAAGATTAGGATATAAGTAGCTGCAGATACAGATACAGTTACTGTCACTGACACAAATACAGATACGAATCGAATAAAGATACAGATACGGATCAGAAACATATACAAGTACAGATATTTATACAGATACGGATTAGATATAGATATAGATATAGATATAGATATAGATACAAGTACAGATACAGATACAGATACAGACGCAGAATCAAATTCAGATACAGATAGTCAGACATAATTCAGATGCAGATACAGATAATTCTATTCAGTCTAGATTACCAGGCATTGCTCGTAAATTACAAATTATTTTCAATTTCTAAAACTCTTTTCACGAGAATTATTAATTTGTTAAAAATTAAACCCGTTTTTTAATGGTCTACTGAAAAAGAGTTTTTTCCGCACATTAATTAAATTAAATATGTAAATTGTTTAGGCGCAATTCGTACTGCAAAATAGCCTAATGTCAGGTAAAAAATAAATTACGCATTAGAACGCATTAGAATGTATCTTGTCTACAAAATCTATGTCATGATTAAAACAATAGCAAAGCATAGACGCGCTCGATTCCGATTCGGCGTTAATTTCGACTCAGTTCCAGCTAAACAAAAAAAAAAAACAAAATTAACAAATGCTACAATTTTTGTTGTTGTTTGTTTTGTTTTTTAACTTTTATTTTGTATACTGTCCGTGATAAATGAAATCAAACCGGTTCAACGGCTTTTTAATGTGTCTGGAAATGCTTTCATTACAAATGCTGTTGCCAGCATTTTTTATTTGCACTTTGAATCAGAAGTTTTTGTTGTTTGTTGTTCAACCCTAAAATAACAACAAAAGCAACAATAACAATAACAACAATAACACATGGGACAGCACCTGTATGTCAATTCAAGTTCTGGCCAAAACCAGTTTCAGCTGCTAATTGCCATTTCGCGGCATATAGAGGGTCATTCCCGCCCCCCGATTTAAATGCAACCCCTCCCCATCTCAACCACATTTCCCCTCATCATTAACTAGTTAGTCGCCTGCTCGTTGAGCGCGAATTTAGATTTAGCAAGATGCAACAAATTGTTGCAACATGCAGCACATGCGACCCAGTTAATCATTTTAACTAGAATTTTCTCCATTTAATTAATGCACAGGAAATACCGCTAATTGTTGGCAATGTATTTTCATAATTGTTGCCCCCGCATGATATTTACTTTATAAACAAATTGTATCTGCAAAAATTTCAAAAATTACAATTTAAGCATAAACAAAGAGCTCTTTCTATGCAATTTAAATGCCGAAGCATTAAATTCCTGGTATATAACTTAATTTAAATTCTCTTTCAATACAAATTGCGATTTTATATATACATATATATTAATGTACATATGTTTAGATATTTTGTAGATGTACGTTAGATTTAAATATATCTTTTATTATGTATTGCCTATTTCAAATATGGCAACATTTTTCAAATTAGAATTAGTTCTGGAATCGAGGCATAATGATTTGCGAGCGACCCTCAAATATTCAAAGCCATTTTTTTAAGCACAGGAAATTTCAAAGAAATATTCAATTTTTATCGACATAAATGAAAATCTTTGCGCTTGTGAAAAATGCTGTCAAAATATGCAATTAAATTTTAACATTTTTCCAGTTTTGCCATAATTAAAATTGATATTGAAAACACATTTGAACAATTTTTTGGTGCTATGAAAATTATTCGCAGAAAATAAATAAAAAAAAATTGAAATTTTGAAAAATTGTTGTGTTAAAAAACGTATTCGGAAAAACCAAAAATTGTTCTGTATTTCAAAATACCAAAAATACTAAAATTTTCCAAATTGAATACTATGAATAATTGCTCCTTGTTAAAAATTGTATTTGTAAAAACTAAAGCGAAAACGATTTAAGACCGAAAGATATAAACATTCCATTTATTTTAATATTTGATGAACTCAAATGTTCAAAATTTTTTAAAATTTTGTATTATTAAATTCAATTTAAGAAATTAGAGTCTATTGAATACTAGAATATTATTTTTTTTGTTAATTAGTTTGGGAATATAATGAAATGCATAAATATATTATATTTTAAAATATTATGCACTTAGAAGATTATAAAAAGTGTGTAAGACTGACAAATATAATCCCAAAATTCTTATAA